CGGCCGTAGGTGTTTGCTTGTTGGATGACGGCATCGTCACAACCGCGGCAGGGCCACCCCCCGGAGCGGCTGTGTGGACATCGGGAACCCCCGAGCAGATCGTGCTGGCACTTGCGCTGGACTTGGGAAAGGCCAAGGTTTCAGCTCACCTCGGGTCAAATCCGGCCCATGGCCCTGCTGACAATGGTTTGTGTTTTTAAAGGATTAAAAAATACAACAACAACAACAAAAAAACCCCAAAGGACATGTGGCAGAGACTGTATGAGGCCATCAAAGCCTAGAACGTTGACCCCTCCGGCCCTTTAAAGAAAGGCTGGGGCCGGGCACTGCTGACCGGGAGGAGGGGCAGAGGTTGGGTGCCATGGCGGGGTGGGCGCGGTGACATCACTAGCGCCCCAGTGGCTCTGAGTGCGGGGAGGCTGCTCCCTCCACAGGGTGCTGTGCTCCTACCCTGGCAGCGTGTCTGGTCCAGGCCTGGCCTCAGGATCAAGGCACCGTGGCCCAGAGTGCAGGGGCCCAGGGAGGGCGGAGCCTGGTCTCAGGGCTGAGGCTGGGATGTGCCCGGAGCTGCAGAGGTCCGACCTCCTCTGCCCCCAGCCTCCCTGAGGCGGGGTCTCTGGCGGGGACAGTTGGCTCTGTCTGGGGGTGAAGCAAGGACCGGGCACTTGGGGACAAGGCCAACATCTGTGAGGGCAATACAAGGGGACACACAGGCCCGTGGATGGGAGGGGACTCTGAGGGAAGCCCGCCTGGGGGGCTGATCCCACAGGGTGGGTGGGCCCGTGGGTGGGCCCAGGGGACAGGCCGCTTCCTACAGGAACCTGAGCTCTGGGTCAGTGTGGTCCGACAACAGGCCACACGAGGCCCACTCCAGTGGCCTTCGCCTGCCTCTGTCTGAACTCCTGGTTCACGATCCTCTCCTTACTTGACCCCACCACACAGCTGGGAAGAAAGAGAGGCCCCAGCTTCCAGCAGCTTTCCTTCCCAGGGACATGCTTATTGCTTTTAGTGAGAGGGGGAAGGAGAGAGAGAGCGGAAGAGAGAGACTGAGAGAGGAGAAACCTTGATGTGAGAGAGAAACATTGACCGGTTGCTTCTCGCCCGTGCCTCGACTGGGGACCGAACCCTCAACCCAGGTGCGCGCCCTGACCAGAATCAAACCTGTGACCTTTCGGTTTACAGAATGGCGTTCCGACCGACTGAGCCACAGGCCAGGGCTGGATTTATTCACGCACAACCAGGGGGCTGTTTCGAGTCTCAGCAAGTGTGTGGTCCAGAGCAAGGAAGGCCGTGAGATCCAATAACGAGACTCCACATCAGAATGCTCTGTTCTGGATCCTTTTTTTTCCCCTGTGTTCCTTTCTGGCATCCCGGGCATTCCTGCAGAGCGGAGTTTGGATGGAGATGCGTTCTTCTTAGGGGAAGAGTCCACTGCCTTGCCCAAGGCTGAGCTCTTGGGCTGAAGCACATGGTGCCACGGGTGGCAGTGTCCAGTGAGCAGGTGCCGCCTGGCTGGGCCACTTGGTCTAGGATGTGCCCTGAGCAGGGTCTTGGTGGCCCGGATAAAGATCCCCTGGGGTTGGGGAGCTGGCAGTGATCAAGTGGGCCTGAGCAGGGGGTCACGATGCTGAGACCGTGCAAAGGTGGGGCCTGCGTCTGGGGCCGCCCGCTGTCAGGGCCGCGGCCGCTGGTGGCTGGCATTTCCCTGGCGTTTCCCAGGTCCCGGCGAGGTCAGACCAGGAGACAGCTGTCTTCAGCTCTCCGGCAGAAGAGGCCTCGCCTGTTTCACTCCCGGCTGAATCCCCGCTGCTCACTGCAGTGCAAAAGGCACTCAGATCTCTGGTGATTTGGGGCATGTTGGAAGCTCTGTGTTTTTTTTGTGTGTGTTTTTTTAAGCTTATTTTGTAAAGAAGGAGTGACTCACTACCCAGTGGTTGGTGCAGCAATCTATTCTGGAAATGCTTTCTCTCTAAATCCAGTCACTCAAGTCTGCTGAGCCGCTCCGTGCGTTTAACCCTGTGGTGGAAAGGGAAATGTGACCGACTCGGGCAGCTACGCACTCGGCGAGAAAATGAACCAGGAGCCCACGCTCTGACTGACTTACCCCTGCAACTCAGACGCGCCATTCCGTCTTGGACTTAAGTCTGAGGCGCACTCGGTTGTTTTTTTGTAGTTCCCGAACAGAGTCTATAGGGTAAAGCCGTAGCAGTCAGAAAGACCTGGGTTCAAATCCCAGCTCTGCCCCTTTCCGACCTGGGGCAAGGGATTCCCGTGCTCTGAGCCTCCATTTGCATACAGTGGGGATAATAAATACTGTGCATCACGAGTGTTACAAGGAGTGAATGAAGTGATGAAGGTGATGTGCCTAGAAAAGTGTGTGGAGTTTAATAGAGCATGATTTTCATAGAGTTTAGCTATTTTATATATATTTTCAGAGCATTTAAATATATATTTTGTCTTCTCGGCTTAGAATGCACAGCCTAACACCCCACTCGTTCCCTAGGGCTCCGCCCGGCCCTCAGGCCTTTCCCTCCAGTTTGCACTTCAGTTGTAACCCCTGCACCTATCTGTCCTTGGATTCGCTGCCTTGTCCTGTTGTCGTGGGTTCCAGGATCCGCCTCATCTCCGGACTGAGAGCTCCCCGATGTAGGGCGCTGTTGGCCTTAGCCCCTCGCCTTCAGGCTTGCAGGACTTCTTGTTGTTAGGGGTTCGAGTGGCTGCTGAATAGGTCCTGGAAAGGTAATATTGCCCCAGGTAGGAGAGAAGGGGTGGTTACATTTCTTCGGGCCCTGCTTAAAGTGCGAGGAGGAGGAGGAGGAGGAATGTGCTAAAGCTTGTGGGGTGTGTCCCAAGGGGAAGGAAGGACAATGTGACAAGGAGTAGTGGAACTCTCTGCATGGCCTGCTGTGTGAGCTGTGATTTTTCAAGAGAGAACTCTGTTCAAGCAGGTGATGATGATGATGATGATGTGTATTTGAGTTTGTTTAATCGCTCCTCGAGGCATAGTTATTTAACATTGGCAGTTCCCTAATACTCTTGGGTTCTCTGGGCGCTATTGAGGAATACATAATATTTACAATGTCTGTTGTATTCCCGAGGCTGACGCTGACCCTTCGGTGAGATTTCTTCCAGCGAACATCAGAAGGCATGTCAGCCAGCACCCTGGGCGTTCGCTCCAGTTTATTTTTGCACCGGGACTCGCTGACGTCGGTCGGGCTGGTTAGACAGGTTGTGCGGGCAGCCCGGCCTTTGCGTGAGCAGGGAAGGAGCGTTGTCGCCTTAGGAACAGCCTGCCGTCCTGGAATCCCACCAGATCCTCTGTCCATCCGCCTAAGGAGAGTCCCATCATCCGACCACTTAACTGGCTCTTGCTGCTGGCTTCCTGTGACATCTGTTTGAGTAAAAGGATGGAGAGCTGGGGCTCTGCTGAGCATAGGAACCAGGTGGTCTGGTGTTTGCTCCTGCTGGCTGATAAGCATCTCCGTGCGTCGGAATTTGGTCTGAGACTTGCGCACATTGTAGCAGGTAACCCGGCCAAGAGGCGGTGGGAGAGAAGACTTACGGCCTTCACTCCCTCTGGCCTCAGAAGGCTGCCAGAGGCTAAGAGCCTCGTACAATAACAGTGAGGGACCACTGGCTCAGGGCGACTTGAACGAGTAGTTTAGGAGGACAGCGGCAGCCATAAAAATGGAAAAGCAAAATGGGACCCCATGGAGAGCAGAATAAGCAAGGTTTGGTGACCAATGAGAGAGGGCATGCAAAAACAAGACCACGTGTACACAGAGATGTACAACGTACATCTCATTCAGTGCCTTTGATTCTCCTGGTCGCCCAGGGGGTGAGTGGGGCAGTGGTTGGAAACTGAAGCTCAGAAGGTCAGACTAGCAGGGACTTGCCCCAAGGCACTTGAATGGGAGGTCAGAGTGCTGGGACCCGGACTCAGGGGTTCAGACCCCCAGGTCCAATTCCCTTTTCATCCTACCTCATCCACTCACAGGCTTTGAGGCTGGATGCCTGGGAGGAGTGGGGGGTTGGGAGAGAAAGCAAACAGGGTTGAGATGAAGGGGAAGGGGCGGTGGGGGAGGGGGGCAGACTGTGAAAGACGGTGGGTAGCCGCCCTCAGGTGGAGGAAGGATGGTCCCTCACTAGTGGGGCCTTTCACCCGTGTGGTGGGTGCCGCTATGGTCTAAATGTTTGTGACTCCCCTCCAACATTCATATGCTGAAATCCTAACCCCCAAAGGTGAGGATATTAAGGGGTGGGGCTTTGGGAGGTGATGAGCTTATGAGGATGGAGCCCTCGTGGATGGGGTTAGCGCCGTCCTAGGAGACCCATCTGGAGAGCAATCTTGCTCCTTCCACCGGGCGAGAAGCCTGCCACCTGGAAGAGGGCCCTCACCCAGCCACGCTGGCACCTTGACCTCGGACTTCCAGCCCCTACAACTGTGAGCGCTAGATTTCTGTCGTTTCGAAGCCGCGCGGTCAGTGGTGTCCTGCTGCAGCAGCCCGGACAGACTAGGACAGGTGCCGGCGTGGACCTCGCCCCTGAGAGGGGCGGGCACGGCTTCTCCGTCCACCCAGAGTCAGCCTGTGCCCTAAACCACGGGCAGTTCGGCTCACTCTCCAGGCCACGGGCATCCTTGGATGCTCCCTTCTGTTTGGGGCCCTCTGTCTCCCCCCCCCCACTCCTCCCCCAGTTGGAAACAAAAGGGGCCTTCTGCCCTATAACTTAGCGCGGGTTCAAGGGTTTCCCATTCACCAAGGGGAAACAAGGGGACCGAAGCCATGGAACATATTATCGTTGGACTTGTCGCTGCTGACAGTCGGTGGCTCTCTGAGTGTGAAACAACAGGTCCTTTGTGGTCCTTTAGAGCTGCCTTGTTTTGAGCACGGCTCCCCCTCCCAGCATCTTCCTGCTGCTTCCAAAAATAAGTAAATAAATACGTGAAATATCACATTCTTTCTGGTTGGTGTTCACAGCACCAGACCAACACAAAGCACCCTGCTTTGGTTTTTTTATTTGCCATCACTTGAACTCGAACCGTGGGCTTTCCCGGGGAGCCTTTGAAAAGCCCGGGTCCTCGGTCCTGGCCCCCGCTGGCCCTGGCTTTGCAGATATGACAGAGAGCCTGTCTTTCCCACCAGAGAGCCAGCGGTGTTTGTGTTGAAGGAACCTTGGCTCCTTTGTTCCAGGACAGGCGGCAGGCTTGAGCGGAGATAGAGCTTGCCTTGTGCCCTTTGCCGGCGTCCATGCGGGCTCATCTGGTTGGAGCCGCTCACCGCATTAGCTACAAACGGCCTTCAGGCCTGGGCCAGCTCTGAGCGCCCCGCGTGCTCCCCCGCCTTTCTGTTTGGCCTCAGCGCGTGCGTCCGACTTGTCCTTGACAGACTTAGAAGGTGCCTCGGAGACATTTCTGGGCCCTGTGAGCAACTGAACTTGGAGTGGGGCTGTGGCCAAGAAGGCAGGTGGGTGAGAATAAGGACTGGGCTTCTGAGAGGAGCTCATGAAGGAGGAACTGACCGGGGAAAAGACTTCGGAGGAGAAATCCCTAAGATCATTGGAGAGGTGCAGGCGGAGTCTGATTTTGAGGCACAGACAACAGAGCTTGGGGGGATGAGTTGGAGACGTTGCAGATTCTGTTCCCACGGCTCTATTTTAATTCTTTTCGCTCAAGCTCAGCTTTGAGGTGAAATGTAAACATTCCTAGGTGGGCCGTATACATCTTCTTAGACCCTCGCGCCTCAGTGGGAATGAGGGCGTCAGATCTGCTCCTGGGATCGGGAGAGAAAAAGGGAACGCTGGTGGGCGAAGAGCAGCAGAAAAAACGGGGGTGGGTGGGAGCAGAGGAGACACACTCTGGCTGTTTTCAGCGACTCAGCGCGGGCATGGGGCGGGGGCGGGGCACAGAGGCGGATGCGCACGCAGCAGGCGGAGGACACCGGGACCTGGGCTGGCGCGTTTTCCGGAAAGGTTTCACATGAACGCCTTGAGCTTGAACAGACGCAGGCATGCCTCCAATGCCTTGAAGTCTTCATCTTCACGTGCTCCTCGGCCACGTTTCTTTAAGACGTGGAGAAACCTTAGTCGTGGGCTGCGTGTGTCTATAAATTATAGAGGAAATCAGACTGTTGTTACGGACTCTAGTATTTTTTTTTATTATGGCTAAATATACATAACATACAACTTACCATTTTAACCGTTTTTAAGTGCGCAGTGAGTGAGTGCAGTGGCATGAAGTGCAGTCACACAGTTGTGCAAGCACCGCCACTGTCCCCTCCAGAGCTCCTTGTCATTGCACACTGACCCTTTGTACCCATGTGGCCCTAACGCACCCCCACAGTCCTGGCCACGGCTGTTCTGCCTTCTGTCTCTGTTGACAGAACGACCCTAGAATTTTATCATGTGGATCCTGGAAGTTACAAATCCCTTGCTTATACTCTATAAATCTCTCTCTCCCCCGTGAATGAAATCAATTCTCTTCTCCTGTGTGTTTTCCTATGTGTTAGCCATGTACATCTCCAGGGGCCCTTGGCTCCAAGGTCTTCTTCTCCCTCCCTTTTCCCAGCCAGAAAGTCAAACTGCTTACGCATCTAGAGAAATCCACAGGTTTACAAGCAAGAATGGAAGGAACGGGTTCTTCCAAGAAGGCCCAGGGATCTAGGAAATCTTGAATGAGTGCCTGAGAGGGGACCTTGCTCTCTGGGACAATTGTGAGTGGTCACCCCTTGATTTTCCTTCCATTCTGCCTCTTTCCAGAGAATCCCAGGACCAACCAGCCAACCACAGTAACAGATGAAACAGTCTCAGCTATGTCTTTGCCTTAAACCCTCCCCCATAACAGGCCTTTTCCCTCCATGTGCTTGGAAAAATCCTTTCTGCTTCTGTGTCCTTTCCTTGCTATGTGTTCCACCTTCATCTGGTGGGCGCTGCAGCAGAGGGCCCAGGGTCCACCACGTATGGGGAGGAAAGTTCCACCAGGTCTCTCTGATTAGGCGCTGAGTGTCTTGGCGGGCAGCCACGGGGGCTGCTGGCCTGATGGGCAGCTCTGGTCATTCGGCCCCACCCTGGACACTCATGGCCCATCTGGTTTATAAACCACGACGGAGAGCAAGGCGGACCATTCCAGCTCGCTTGTAAGCTGGCTGTCTCCCCAACCCTCTGGCTCTCTGGGAGGCAGGTTCAAGGTGGCTAATAAGTAACTCGGTTGTGATATTTTTATTTAACTACGTGAACTTAGGCAGCTTGATTGCAGTTGCATAAATATGAACCATGTGATCAGAGACTCGGCCCTTTATGTCTATCACCTGCCACTGAGAGACATGCCCTGCGTGGGGGGGGGGGTCCCTATTTTTGCATGGGGCTAATACTGAATCAAACGGGTTTTTGAAGTGAGAGAGGAGAGAAGAGCAAGGCATTATTGCTTTTGGGTTTAACTCAGAAACCTTAGGTTCCAGTCTTGCCTGAGCCGAACAGCAGTTCTGTTCCCTTCTGGATTCCACTGTTAGCTTGTCAGCGGGGATCTAAATCCCAGCTACTGAGTATCGATCGGCCTCCTTGTTTAATTACGCATCAGAGCCTATTCAGGAGCCAATCAATTTCACTCCTGGAATGCCATCGCCCTGCTTCTGGGGGAGGAGGGGATCAATTAATCCTTGTTTGCTTTTTAATTCCTCTTCGGAACATAGTGCATTCACACACAGGTTAATTTTTAAATCCACTCCCCTCGTACTTCGCCGCTCTCTTTAATTCGCCCTGGAAAGCTCAGTGACATTAAAACCCTATGAACCTCTTTTTATTGCTTACGCGGCCTCGTTAAAGGGCTGAGCAAATACCTGACTCAGTCGTTTGCCCCACTTCAGCGGGTCCCGTCGTCCAAAGTCCCTGCGTGTTTCTGTTCTCGTCTGAAGTCCCCCGGGGCAGGGGTTTTCCGGAACTGCTGACACCTCTCCATCGAAACCTGGCGTGGAAGGGAGAAGGGGGTTCTCCCAGCGCGCCATCCGAGGACCCGCTCCCAGGTCTGCTTTCTCAGCAGAGCCAGCAGGTCTGAGCGGCCCGGGTCCCAGGGGATGGATGTGAAGGGGGGGAAGGAGGCAAGAATCTACGTAACACACCAGGAGCCCACAGACAGAGACCGGCGCTAGAGGGTCCAGGCCCTGCATCCTCTCTGGTAATGACCTTTCCAGACATACAAGCAGAATCTCACACTTTTCATCTAATGCTGATTTGCCCTTCCATCTGAGCTTGAATCGTTGGAGGCCAAGGGGAAACCCGTCTCTGCTGCCCCTCACTTTCCATCCCTGGCCTCCGACCACCGCGGGGGGTCCCAGGAGTGCATTTAGGGTTCAGACTCTGAGCGCAGGGCCCGCGGCATCTCTCGGCCCGTGGAAGAGGTGTGCCCAAGGTCTGTCCGGTTTGATTCTGGTGAGCTGTCAGTGTTCGAACACATCAGCTCCCGGCGCAATTTGCTTGGCCGTAACCTTGAAGTCGAAGATCAGTCAGGAAAGCTTTAAGGAGCTCTACTGGGAATCTTTTATAGCATCTGCGCAGTCTGCCCGCACTTGGCTCGTGTGCGTGTTCCCTGGCGCCGGGCGGAGTGTGAAACGCCTGCCAGGCCAGGAAAGGGTCCCCTCGGGACAGGTGTCCTCCGTGTCCTCCACGCGCTCCCAGGGCACTAATGCCCTGGGATTTGGCGGCTCTGAGCTTCTAAGCAGTTCTGAAACCCCAGCCAGGGAGCAGGCATTCAACCTTTGGGGCCTTTGATCTTATGTTTTTCTGCTGGAATGTTTTTAATATCAGAGTTAAAAAATAAACAGACTCATGGGTGCTTTTTCCCAGGCCATTCATCAATCTCACAAAACTCCTCGGAACACAAACACTTCCAGTCCTTTCTGGTATCACAGAGGGAGGCGAACTGAGACCCAGATCACTGGCAGTTTCCCTCGTGATCAGGGGCAGCTGCTCCCCAGGCCCCACGGCTGGGACTAATGCAAGTCTGGCCTCTACAAATTGCTGCAGACGGGCTGATGGCATGTTAGACAGGGGGGAAAGAGGTGGCATTGCACACGAAAACACACCTTAGATGAAAGCCGTGAGGCAAGGGGCTGTGGAGAGGCAACGGGTCCCCGGAGAAAGGCTTTTAGCTTGGTGGTCTGTGCGGTTCCTGTGCGGTTTCTCACAGCGGCAGTCCATGTGATGTCCCGGCATCTGTGTCTTTACCCTGATACCCTTCCAGTCTCGTCCGGAAAGCCGCCAGGAGAGGACTCGAGAGGAGGGCCATCTGTAAACCTGCGGCAGTTGTGGCAGTCGGTTTAGAGTAAAAAATGAAATGCCAACCCCCCGGAAGAGGCCAGAGTGCCGAGTCCATTGCTGGGGGGGCCTTTTAGTAATTTCCACAGTCAAAACTGTTGTAAATATTATACATATCAGTGTTTGTGTTGTAGGTTTTGCACCTTTAAAATCCAGGGTGATAACTTTGCAGTAATTTTGACTTGTGCAAAATCTGAGTGCGCAGAGCTGTCCAGAAGAGAGCAGGTTCTGGACAGCTCTGGACAACGAGAGTGTTCACAGGCCGGGGTGTGACGGTGTCCAGTACCAGGTGGCTGAGTGGGGCTGAGGGCAGGAAACACTATGTACGTGTAAACACACACACACACACACATTATTTGTTTGCTTATTTATTTAACACCCTCTGTCTTAGCTTGATTCCCCCCAGAGCAGAGCCTAAGAGGGTCTGCCTGCCCAGTAATTTACTTGGGGGTGTGCGCGATCCTGGGGGGAGGGGCGAGAGCAGAGCGAGATGCCAGAGCAAGCAAAGCCGGAACACAGATGCATCACTGGGCACCACTACAGGCATCTAGTGCTCAGTCCTGCTGGAACCTTCGGAGAGATGGCGCGAGATGCTCTTGGAACTGGTTTGCCCCCGGGGGCCAAAGACAACCGTATGAATTGGTCAAAGGGACCCCCCATGCGTCCCACCCCACTCTGGGTGGCCCGTGTGAGTGCAGAGCAGCCCCTTATCAGGCAATCTCCGGAACTGGAAGCAGGAGACGAGGGAGAAGGCCCTGAGCAAGGCATTGTCGGGCTGTGTCTGTGAGAAGCTGGCAAAGCAGCCACAGACCTGGTTGCCACGGCAACGGCTGGAGCGCAGGCGAGGCCAGGAGGAATCTGAAGTGAGGCCTCAGAGCCGAGCCTGAGAACAATAGAGCGGGCCTGGCTTTCGGACTGCGTGGCGTGGGATGGCCATGAGCAGGAGGCCACCTCCCAGGTCCAGCACGTGCCCTGACAGGTAGAAATGCATTTAAAGAGGCAGAAGATTAATTTGGTTACCGGCGTCCCCTGAGCTCTGGGGAAAATATATTGAAAATAGGGACCCTCTTGAAAATGTCAGATTTGCCTTCAGAACAAAAAGCGATAGCCCTTCAGTTGCTGCTTTAATCCACGGAGTAAGAACCAGGACTGGGCAAGGGGGCCAGTCCCGGAGCAGCCGTCGGAAGGACACGGGACACCTGCAGAGCCCAGTGAAGTCCAAGTTTCCCGGCACCAGAGATCCCGGCACGGCAAAACCTGGTCGGGAATACTGAATACGGAAGGGTGCCCCGCCATGGTGGAACTTCCCTGCTGGAGCGGCTCTGAGGCGTGTCATGCCCTGCCCCTTCTTATCTTGAACGAAGAAATGATTTTTATTGTGGTAGGAACCCAACGCGAGATCTGTTCTCTTAACGAACTGCAAACGTGCACCCCATTACTGTTGGTTGCGGGTACGGTGAGCCTCCGAGGTCTGGAGCTTCTTCATCCTCCTCAAGTGAAACTCTGTGCCCGAATCACGGCTTCCCACTCACCCCTCCCCACCGCAGCCCCCGGTAGCCACCACGGCACTCTTCGATTTTACCTGCTTGACCACTTTAGATTACTCGCATCCGTGGAATCACGCCGGACTTGCCTTTACGTGTCTGGCTTGTTTCACTTCACGTACTACCCTCAGGGCGCATCCAGGTGGCCTCATATCACAGAATACTCGACAACATGTATGGGCCTCAGCGCCCTGTCTTAGGGAAGAAGAAACCGAGGAAGGTGAGAGGTGGAAACTGGTGTGTCCCATGAGAAGGAAAAGGACGTCTTGGACTGATTGGGGTTTGTGTTTCTCACGTGCTGTGGGGCCCGCAGGCAGACAGTGGCTGGTGTCGTCGGTTCAGCGGTCAGGGGTCTGTGACTGTGGCTGCCGCCCCTGCTCCCCACACCCTGGTCGTCACAGGACGGCTACTGCGGGAAAGCAGCCATGTGCCGCGAGAGGCCGGCACACAACAGCCCCTTTAGCGATTCCAGCTTACGTGGTATCTGTCGGATCTGTGTCCCTGGTCACTCTCCTCTGTGAGGGAGGGAGGTTGGGGTGTGTCCTTTCTCCAGCTGGGTGCGGTACCACCCTCAGTAGAAGGGGGCCTCTCTGGGAAGAGGGAATGGGAGAGAGGATGCTGGGTAGGAACGGGGTTCAGAATGTGGTCCCCCCAAAATGGGGCACCTTAGCATACTGAGCATTTTACGCTGGAGGAATTTGAGACATGGCGGGTGTAGCAAGGGCTCTCTGACCTTCTCGTCTCCCCTGAAGGCCATGAGGCCCTGGAGTGAGCGGTGCCCTCGACACGCCTGGAGGAAGGGAGCGCCCTTATCCCTGAAGACGGAGGGGCAGGGGAAGAGACAGGAAAGAGGAGGTCCTGCCAGAGAGCCCTCCAAGCCCTGTCCAGCACCCTTGGCGCCCATCCTCTCGTCTCTCAGGTTTTCCTCAACCTTCCACCCTGCTCAGATTGGGTACAAAAGCACTCAGGTTTAACCCCTTCTTCTGGTCTCTATTTCCCTGCACAGGCGCCTTGTCATGCAAAACTTATCTTAAGTGACTTTGTCTGCTCTTCTCTTGTCAATGTCTTTTGTCTGTCCAATTTACGGGCCCTAGACTGAGAACCAAGGGCCATAGTAGGAATATACGTCTTTCCTTTTCTCCGCCCAGCGTTCTCATCCATAGTGGGCCAGAAAGCCACCCGTGTCTTCTCTCCCCCTGGAGATCCGAGGAGAGGCGGGTGTGCTGAAAAGCAGTGACCTGTGTGCCGACCCGCGGTCTCTCGGGGATGCTCGGCTCCACCGTGCCTTGCCTTGGGTTGCCAGCAGAAATTCTTCACTATGGGCTTAGTGTTTTATTAAACAATGGGTATTGTCGTGCTCCCTTTGGAAGGGAAATTTCTCCTCCTCGTCTCCCTCAAAGAACAAAGAAGTCAGGGCCCGGTCCCTAGAAGGAGTTAGAGATCATGGCGGGGGCAGCCAGAGGCTGAGTTGGGAATGATTAGGAACAATGTCCTCGCGAGCAGCTTTGTTGCTTTTGAGACCGTACTCCGGGCTGACTGTGAAATACAAAAGCTAAGATGCCCATTTGCATCAGGAAAGAAAGACACAGACATTCCATGTACACTCTCCTGCCTAAAATGGCTCTAGCTGCAGGAAGCAGGAGCAGAGGAAAGAAAATAACGGGAATAAATAAAATGCCAGGAAATCAAGAGATGGGGGTGAATGCAGGGAGCAGCTTCTTTTGAAGCCAAAGTTTGGACTCCCAGTTGTTCGTTCCCCTCCCCCACGGGCCGCTCCTGCTTTGTGGATGGCGACAGGCACAGGGCACGGGTTCGCAGTTCCAGGGACGCTGGGCCAGAACATTCTTATTGGTCGAAATGTAAAGACTTTCTTGTGCCACAGACGGGGAGAAAATATTGGCAAAAGCACATCTCAAGAAAGGACTTGTATTCAGCATATATAAAGCACTTTTAAAACTCAATAAGAAAAACAGCCCGATTGAAACAAGGGCCGAAAATGTCATTGGAAACTTCATCCTAGAAGATGCACACACGGCGAATAAATCCACGAAAAGAGGCCCAACGCCAGTAACCAGTAAGGAAATGCAAATTAAAACTGCAGTGAGATCCTTCTGCACAGGCACCAGAGCAGCTGCAATTAGAAAGATCGCCCACGCCAGATGCTGGGCAGGGGTTTGGAGCTGCCGGAACTCTCAGGTCCTGTTTGCTGGGAATGTAAAATGGTATAGCCGCTTTGGGAGAGCTTGGAAACTCCTTTTAAACAGACACTTACTATAGGAACCAGTAATCCCACTAATTATTATTATTCATTATAACCCCAAACCAGAAACAATCCACATGTCCACCGTACAGACAAATGCGTTGCGATCATTCACACAATGGAATATTAACCAGCAGTAAAAATGAGTGAAGTACTAATATCTACAACAACATGGATGAATCTCGAAAGTGCAAAGAGCCAGACACAAAAGGCTAAATGTTGTAGGATCCTACTTGTAGAAAGTACTAGGAAAGAAAAACCTAGGGGCTGAAGAAAGCAGATCAGTGGCTGCAGGGGCCTGCGGGTGGGGAGAGAGAGCTGCCTACGAAGGGGCACAAAGGAACTTTCGGGGGGACGAAACATTGTCCGTCATGATTGTGGTGACGGTGGGCAGTGACACCCATTTGTCAAAACTCATCAGACAGCACACGTAAAAAGATGCATTTTACTGAATATAAATTATACTTGAATACAGCTGACAGAAATGCCGCGCCTTCCTGCACATCATTTAGCACCTCAGCTTCTGGATGGGACGTCCAAGGGGAGCCCTCGGTCACCCTGTGGGTGCAGCGTGGAGACC